GTCCTGTCTGTTGTACCCCGCCTCTCTTCCAAAAGACAGGCACCAGTGTGAGGTCAGGACGGGTTGGTGTAAGAAAATGGATGTGTAGGTCCTTGCCAGCTGGTTGTGGACACCATCATGCCGGTTTCCTCGTGGTGCCATGTAAAGGAAACATATATTTCCTAAACCACTATCAACAAAGGAAATTTTGACAACAGAGGCGCCTGCAGGATATTATCGGAGAGTACACACATTGAAAGTCCACTTATTTATTTTTAAGTGGACTTTGAGAGCTGTAAGTGAAATAGTCACATTTAGTTTACAGAAAGAGCACAAATACACCATATAAACGAAAGTAAACGGACCAATAACATTTAGATTTAGGTCATACAGTACATATGCCCTCACAGAGATGTGGGCTACGTAGGCTACACCTCTGTACATATTTTGACACTAAAGACCTTGTTTTCTCTCCACAATTTTATTACTAAAGAAGGTTAAAAAAATACAATAATTATATATCATTTTTTACTTCAATTAAAATTTCAAGATATGCACAGTGCATCCAGCACTAAACACTATTTGTCAACATGTGTTTAGAATTCCCATCTATTGCTGCAATTCAGTCTTACCATGTGTATTATTTAAATGTAAATAAGGAAATCAGTAAAATTCAAATGTTTTTAAGGTTTTGTTTACAGTAGAGTATGTTGGAAATAGCAAAACACATGTATGGAAGACCACTGCAATTCTCACTTGCTGACAGTTAAAGTTAAATAAATGCTTGTGCTGCTGTCACTGAGTGCCCATCTGTCAGCAGCATCCCAGCTGCCAGCAGCACAATAAGCTCTACTCTCCTGTGACGTGGAGGCCTGTGTACGTCACAGATGACCTCTGAGGAAAGGTCATCATGTAAGACTAAATCACAAACATGATAAGTGGAAAAGTGTATGTGGAAGTCTTTTTTTGACGTTCTGCAGAAGTGGGTTGGAAATTAGAGGTTACAACAGTTCATACCTCTAACCCCCTGTTTCCCTGTGCCTTCTACATCTCTCCAATATTATCTGTAGTCCTATATGGGCACTTTGGAGCAAGAGGAGGTTTATTATGTAATATTCAGGATCTGTTACGTTCATTTAGCTTACCACACTGAAATGCCTGCTGAGTCACTTTGGGCTTTTCACAGAGATCTGTATTTCAGTTTGTTTCAGTCTGTTTCACTGAGTTTTCCAATGGAGACCAGTCAAAGAAAAAGGAAAAAAAAAAGGAAGCGTGGGAAGGAGATTAGGATGCAACTTCTGAGCTTTAGTTTTATATTTAGAACATATTTATATGTTCTGTTTCACAATATATATTAGAAAAAAAGCATAAAATTGTCCTTTTTTTCTGTGTGATTTTGCTAATGAAAGAGGCTTTGAGGCACTGAACACACTAAGGTCAAAAATCCTCATGAACATGATACATTTCATGATTCACCCCACTGCTTTGATGAGCTGTACTATTCTTTCAGAGTCACCAAATTCTGGCTCTCTTATAATGGCATCTCAATTTATGAATTGGTAGACCAAATCATAATTACTGGGTACTATGGACAGGCAATTTAGATCAGTAGCATTCACCACTATTTTCTGACCATATACCGTGAGATGTACAATGTCCTTTATATTTATTTCAGGGCAATGTGTCAGTGATAACATAATCTAAAATTTTACTGCTGCATCCAAAAAGTCAAGTTTTAAAGGGGACTTATGCAAAATCCATTTTCAATCCCAAAGGGGATCAATCAAAATGTATTCATATAGCACAATTCAGCAACAAGGCATTTCAAAACAGTCATGCAACACAGAATCAATTGAAACATTACATTTAGTCAAGTGCCATTTTTAAATTCTTAATTGATTTATGTTTCTAAAGCAATTCCAAACAGGTAGATTTTAGTCTAGATTTAAGTGTTTCAGCAGTTTTGTAGTAATCTGGACATTTGTTCCATTTGTGCTGCCCTGCCCTGCCCTGCCCTGCCCTGCCCTGCCCTGCCCTGCCCTGCCCTGCCCTGCCCTGCCCTGCCCTGCCCTGCCAGTCCCCTGGTCCCCCCCAAACAGGCTGCACACAACTCTGACAATGTGACTGACATCTATCTCTCTGTGTTTATTAGACAGAGGTAAATATTGAGATCTGGACCAAATCTAAGGCTCCACATCAGAACAGTCACCTGAAGGTTTACACACATGCAGCAGCATGAACCGGTCTGACATTTGAAAAAAGGCTTTGACTCAGATCCAGTCCAGGTCTGAACCATCCACCCATCAATTTTCTGATCACCCTTCTCCCTAACGGTGTCGGAGTTGCTGGTGTCTATCTCCAGCTGCGTTCTGGGCGAGAGGCGGGGTTCACCCTGGACAGGTCACCAGTCTGTCGCACGGCAACACAGAGACAAACAGGACAAACAACCATGCACACACACACACACACACACTCACACCTAGGGAGAATTGGAAAGACCAATTAACCTGACAGTCATGTTTTGGACTGTGGGAGGAAGCCGGAGAACCCGGAAAGATCAGGGAGAACATGCAAAAAGACCTAGGGAAGGAATCAAACCCAGGACCTTCTTGCTGCAATGGAACAGTGCTACCAACTTCACAACTGTGCAGCCCAGGTCGTGGAGAACGTTGTGCTAAATGACTTGCAGAGGTCTAACCAGTTCTGCCTAAAAATTCAATGGGATTTCTGTATTTGTCGGCATTTATAGAACTGCACAGTCAGATCCCAGCAGCTCTACAAACATTTTGGAGGGAAAACTTGAAACAACTTTAAAGGGCAACTGTTTTAATTTTAAACCGAACCTAAAGTTTTCAAAACACATAAAGACAATTAACATTATATTTTATGCAGCACAAAAATTGTGAGAACTATATTAACATTATAGACATCACTAAAGTAGGAGGTAGCATTAGCACAACTTTAGCACATCTTACCAGCAGCTCAGTCAGGCAGCTTCTGCCTGGCTGCTGCAGCTGCCTCACAGAACTTTGCTTTGTGCAACATTAATAACCATCCTCCCAGAACAATATTTAGGAACCAAAATAGAAGCAGTATAAACAAAATAGCCTGCTGCAGTGCAAAGGTGATAACAGACATGTCAATTAAACAAAAAGGTGTTTTGAGAAGGTTCATAAGAATATAAAATAAATAAAATTAACTCAGCTACAGTTGCACAATTAAATTGCTCAACATTGATCATTATATATGGGGATAAATAGCTAAATATATGAATAGAGATGTCTCACTTACTGCTCTGTCGCTGCCAGAAGCCAGGCTGAGCTTCTGGCTGAGCTTCTGGCTGAGCTTCTGGCAGCCATGACTCATGCTAAAGTGCTGTTGGAATGGGTTAATATTTATGTTTGCATCAAAAATACAAGTGTGAATCTGTGCATTTGTGAATTATGAGACTGTTTTAGCTCCATATTAGGAGGCCAGGACTAGTTTTTATTCTTACTTGCTCAGCAGCAGAGAAGGACCTCGCTGCAACCCACAGTGAGAGAACACATGGGAGACCAATGCCATATTTTGAGAATGGACCATTGCACTCTGGAAACGAGACAGGCACTATTCCTTACATTAGCAGTGGTCTCCCGTTTTTATTTTCTTTTGAAATCTGTGATATCTTCACTGTAGAAGGATTTCCATGAGCCTGATAAAACAGCTCACTCGTTATGGGCTCAACACACCAGGGGACAGCGCCGCTCCCACCATTTATTGCATGGTGGGGCGACAGTCACTTGCCTTCCAGCTGGGCAATTTGTGAAAAACACCAAGCATACATAAATACACACATGCAGCTGCCACGGCTTCAATGACACCTGCCACTAAAGTGCCGCCACTTTGGGGACAGATGCCACGAATACTATGACAATCTGTGGCAGGTGTATGTCGTAAAAAAAATGTTGGGAATAAAATGCTTTATTCAATATTCAAACTTCCACAGAAGCTGTGGCAGGTGACACAACTAAGTTATGGCAGCTGTGGCAGCTGATACCATAAGTGCCACAGTAGTCGTCCTAACCCTAACCCTAACCCTAACCCTGCCACGGTTTGATCTTGTTGTGTCTCTGTGGTGTTACGACAAAATAGAAACTTTGCTTTCAGCTTCTGTTCTTTCCAGTAATTAAGCCAAAGGTTTCCAGTGACGTGACACAACAAATTTAAAATTGTCATCATTATCACTTTTTCATATGTTGAGTTCATCCCTAGTGGCGAAAAATTTACCTTTTTTTTTTACCGTTTTGTTCGCTCCCTGTGTGTCAATGTTATTAAGTAAATTCAGCAGAATGCACCAGAGTGAATCTTTTTGTCAGTGAGCCTCTTCAGAAGAAAGTGAGAGAGAAACTCCAAAATAACATGCAATATTATCAACCTAATTTTATTTTTGAGCTTATTTACATTTTTATTGAGAATAATTGAGTTATTGCTTATTGCAACAGACCTATTCCAAATTTGGTTGCATGTATTATAATTAATAAAGGATTATAGGAAAGCATAGCCAATACCTGGATAGACTACTAGAAAAAGTTATTGTTGATATTTAGAAATTTAGTTTTAAAAAAAACTGTGCACATATTGAGAATAAAACATGTTTAAGTGACATGTTTTAGGGGAGTCCCAGGTCCTGTCTGTTTTGGAATGCCCTACAAAACATGACATTGCTCTCTTAGTGAATCACATAAATCGTCTTCATGTCATCAGGTATAAAAGAACCCAGCTGAATTTTGTGTGGTATGTCTGTGTACTGAACCAGTGGGTGGTACTGAATACATGTACCATTCCAGCCCTACTTGTCATTGTCCAATTGTCTTCAAAAACTCATGACTATAGAAGTCAGATTGAGACAATCTGCTGCAGCAGAACAACCACATACTGAAATTATACATATAGTAAAAAACATGTAACATGTTACATGTAACAGATTTTAAAATAACATTTTCATGTTTAACCTGCTCCTCTATTTGTTTTGCTGTTCACAGCACCCCCTACAGTGCGAATTGTCCATGCAGGTCAGGCCTGTAATGTGAAGGAAGAGCAACACAGCGAGAGGGTTTACGTCATCCGAGAGGGAGAAACTCTGGAACTCCAGTGTCTTGTCACTGGACATCCTCGACCTCAGGTAATTATGTTCTTGATGTAAATGTTGCTTAAGTAAACTAAAACCAAAGGCAAACAATTTTGAGCACGTTTCAATGTCACTGTCAAATTTATTTATATAGCACTTTAAAACAGATGAAAAACTCCACAAAAACTGTACAAAAACAATAACAAAGTAAGTCGATGAAAAGAAAAAGAGAAATATACAAAAAAAAATCTATAAATATTGTTTTCAGTTACAATTTGAGTGGATACAGTTTCATCTGAGCAGACGGGAGACAGACAAATTTGAAAAGCAGCATTAGATGCGCGAGTAGAACTTTGGGGTTTTATCAACAAAAAAAAGTTTAACACTGGAGTGTGTCTGTTGGAAAAACTGAATCATTCTGAGGTAATTCATGAGTCACGTCAATCCCGAAGTTGCCAAGTAAGTTTGATCCTAATGCTACTACTTTTCTTCTCAAAACTTAAAGTCGTAAGTCTTGTTACATTTGGACCTTTTTATAATAATAAAAAGAGATTTGTTGCGGAGGTTCTTTGGTTAAAGGTGTTCTTTTTATTCACAGGGACATTTTGAATGTTTTGAACCTTGTAACCTTGCACTAACAGGTCATATGGCCTCATCACGACTCCACCCTGCTGTGCTCGAGCTGCAGAGATAAAATCCTTTCAATCATCATATTTGCACTTCACTTATTCAGAGTTAACATAAAAACAAAGTGGAGCTGGAAGATGTTAAATGAAGCTGGGAGAGGTTATGCTGCTTATTCAAATGGGGCTCTTAAAACGAAAGCAGTAAAATTCTACTTAAAACAATATAATGAGTTGCTCCAGACTCCAAACTTTAATTCAAGTTATCAGGTTGGATAGGGTTCAGACGTAATGGACTCAGTCAGATTTTTTAGGTCCGATATGAGCACAATTCTCCAGATGCAGACCAGATGCAGGAGGAAGTTGTGAGGCTGAGCATTCAGGCATCAGCAGGTGAATCACTGTTGGCTTCTCATAATTTAAGAGTTGATTAATTTTGTTGTTCTATCTACTGATTGAACAATAAAATTCTATCAGAAATTCTATCAGTTTTTATCACTGCAGAGAAAAGGTTAGATGTGTTTATCCAGTTGATCAATGTGTGGGTTGAACGATTTCATATTTTTTAAGGTCGACTACAACATGATTGAAATCGAGTTGAAGTCGACTAGTCGCGGTGATGTCATCGTGACGTAAGCGCAAAAATGCTTCACAGCAGCATGAAGGCTTTATCAGCTATATGCACCGCAAATATTGATTAAAAACTCGCTTTTAGTAAGTCTATTATGTAGAATTAAAAGAAAGAGAAACAGATCATTATCACTGACTTCTTCATGAGCAGCAGAGAAAAGTTGCACAAAGTCAGGTCTGACTGATTTTTTTTTAAACACCAGCTGATCCTGATGATAGCTGCACACATAGGAGTCAAATTATTCCACTGACCACAGTGATGGTTTTGGAACATCACAAACCAACTTATTATGAACGGATCCCGTTTGGTTACAGCTGAATAAAAGTTGCCACCTGCTGCTCCTCTGCCCTGTTGCAGCAGGAAGCTCTGCTGACTCAGCAGTAGCTGTCTTTGCGGGATGAACCGACATGCAGATGGCGGCAGAGATCTATCAAAAGCTCAGAATGAAGCTTGAACTTTGTTCCCAGACGTTGTTAATTAGTATTTTTATGAGTATGAAGCTGCCAGGTTAGAAGCTTCAATAGGCAGGGTGATGGTGATCAGTTGGATGGATAAAATAGTCAGACATCTCGCTGCATAGCTTTTCTTTTTTGAAGAGTTTGTTTGGCACTAGTTGCCTTTATTTGACAGTAATCCAACAGGAACGGGACGGGTAAAGGGGATGTGGGAGAGAGGAGTCAGACTCCAGACGCCCCCTGGGCTTGTGCAAAATTCTGCCCTCTTGCGTCGGAGCGCGCACTGCAGCCAGAGAGGATCCGTTCATTTTCACAGCACTTCTGATCCATTTCTCAGTAAACAACTCATATGATCATCAGGTCCAGGTTGTAACTTTCAGTTTAGTTGGCTGCTGAAAAAATTGTAAAATAAATAAACGAGGTCTTGTGTGGAGGTCTTCTTACACTGTTTTGTGTTGGAGGAAAGAAAATCGGTCTTTTTCCTACTATTGTCACTCAAGCAAGTAAGTCACCAACACAGTTTTCCAACACATTGTGTGTAATTATAATTTTTCCTTGCTGATGTAAGAGGAGAGGATCTGGCTGATAGCAGCGCATGAAGATTAGACTTCCTGAAAAGATGAGAGTGTAGGCTTTCTGTAAAATCCCTTTCTGATAAAAAATATACAACAAATTACTGGATAAAGGAAATTTCTAGTTAATTGTTTCACAAACTCTGCAACTGTATTTATTCCTCTCATCATCAACAACAAATCCTGTGATTGTGGTAACATTTGCTCTTTATTTGCCAAAGTTATTAGGGGGAACCAAATATTTTAGCTGCATGAAATAATCCATTCCCCCTTTATGACATGGTAACAAATTCATTTACCATTAAGTTTTTGACTGTGTTTATTCTTCTCATCATCAAAAACAAATCATGTGATTTTGGAAACTGTTGCTCATTAGTAGTCACTGTTAATGGGGGGCGAACTATATACCCCTCATATATATGGGTGGATATTATTTATGGAGGGGAAAATAATCTGTTCTGAGGAAGCATAAAAGTTAAAGAGTTTGTGAAAAAAGAATTAACTCCCATGATATGGAGAGGGAACAAATGATTTCAGGCAGGCAAATAATTCATAACTTGCCCTCATAACTTTGGGAAATAAGGAGGAAATGTCACCAGATCCCACAGATCATATTGTGGATGAAGAGAGGAATAAATACAGTTAAAGACTTGCTGGTAAATTAATGCTCTGAGAATTTCACTGGCAGAGCAGATTTATTCCTTGAGGTTAGGTTTATAATATATACAAGTTTAGAGTTTATGCATTTAAAGGCGGCAGCACAGACCAATCACACAGCTGGTACCTTGCACGCTGCCGCGTCTTTCCCTCAAACTGGACACAGCCTGATCTGTATGGATATTTACATCCAAAGATTTAACCAACAACCTTTTCAGCAGGTCAGTGTTCTTAGGCCTTCTAATGAGCCATCATTTGATCCAGGTACGTTAAACCAGGGAGAGAACAAAAACATGCAGGATGCTGGACCTGGAGGACCCAAAGTGTGTGTCTGTGTGTGTGTGAGGTCACTCTCTGTTATGTTCTGCAGATGCGTTGGACTAAGACATCAGGTGGCGCCTCGGATAATCAAGGAAAGTTGTCACTGAAAGGTGAAACTCTAAAAATTGAGAACATCAGTCGCCAGCAGGGAGGACGCTACTACTGCAAGGCTGAGAACGGACTGGGATTCCCGGCCATACGCTCCATACGAGTGGATGTCTACTGTAAGCACTCAAACCAAAAAAGGCCCATCTTGCATTGTGAATAAATGCAATGTTTACTTTCAAACAAACTTTTTAGTCAAAATATTTTTAAGACTTTGGATTACTGAGCAGCATACAATGCCTATAAAAATCCCCTGGACATCTAACATTTATATTGATCTTAGAATCAATTATAATCAAGAAACAGTGGCTTTTATTTTGTTTTACAATCAAAATTTGGTCAAAGTGAAAACTGATTTTTTTAGTTTTTTCCTAAGCATTTATTGAAGCATTTTGTTCTTTGTTCACAAACATAAGACATATGCAGAAACAAGCTTAATTAAAACTAAAACAAATAAATAAAATACTCAGGGAACAGTTGATAATGATCATTTCTAACCCCACATGGATATCATGAAGTAACATGTCTAGTCATTAAACTACAAATACCAAAATAAATATAATACTAATAAATGAATAGAATAATTAATAGTAATTATAATTTTAGTAAAACAAATAAATACAAATAATGATAATAAAAAGCAAGGAAAGAGGGTTTGGGGAGTTAATTTTTCATACACCATCATTCCTCCAGCCATTTATTTCAACACTGTTTTCTACAAAAATTGTCTGCAGATCCTCCAGATCTTCCAAAATGTGTCTTCCTGTTTTCTTGTTGTGTATCTTATCTTCTCCCAGGTCAAATACAAACACATTCCATTGTGACATGGTGCATATTGTTTCAGTTTTCCACAAATGGAGAAAAGTTTTCTAGAGGCCGTGAGCTGTTAGATGGGCTGAATTGCCTCAAATATATCAATAAATAAACACATTTTTGGGTCAAGAGACACCTCTTCTCCAATTAATTGATAAAAATTATAACACTTCCTTCTAAAAAACAGCTAGTTTTTTAGCGTCATCTCACATGCAGTGCAGTAAAGATTATTTTTAATGCTTGCATTTAGAATATGTAGAAGGGATATTAGAGGTAAAACGGGGCAACCTGATTGGATACTGAACCATCATGTTAGCTATTTGTATGGTAGTAGTTTACAGTTGTGTTTTAGTTTGTGTTTGAGCTAAACTATATGTTTCTGATCACTCTTCCGGGCTTCTGAGATATCATGTCGTGGTTCTTTTGAATTACTTACTAAGATATTATGTAATAAAGAAACCTGCCCATTTTAGAGGGCAAGAGTTCAATGAGAACTCTTGCAGGTAGTTTCAGACTGGGACCCTGACCACTCACAATACAGAGTTTTTTATTGGGATCTCAGACTGTTGAATTGTTTTGGGTCTATTATTATTTATGTTACTTTCTTATTTTGGTTAGATCTGTCTGGTTCTTCTTAGTGTTTCTAGTTCTGTTTATTTTTTAGGGTCATTCACAGTCACTAGTTTAATTATGTTTCTAAAATGGATTTATTTATTTTTTTCAAAATATCTTTATTGAAATTTTAGCAGTTTAGACAAACAGCTTGACCATTCTGCAAAGTATGACAACAGTAGTAGTAGTAGTACCCTACCCTTCAGGCCAAAATAAAATACAGACAGAAATAAACAAAATGCCTCTCACAATCCTGGTTCTAATGCAGCCTATCACATAGTCCACATATCATTTAGTTTCTATATTCAGAGGACACTTTTTCCAGTGTCCCTTCTGGCAACATTAGTTACAACCTGTGTAGCTATTGTTGCCAGAAGGGACACTGGAAAAATGAATGTGCTTTAGATTTCTATGTAGGTTCCAATCTTGTCTTCCCAGAGAACCGGTCATGATAGGATTCTTTAAAGCTATGGCCACATTTCAAATTATAATCCCTCGCAGCTTCATGGGTTAGAACATACTCATTTACTAAGAGTGCAGATTTAGCAGCAGTTTTTACTTTTTGTTCATTAGCATATGTGACAATCTGATCTGGAATAATGTTCTTTAACTTTTCCAACACCATCAAATCGAAGGGATTCAAAGTCATCCGAACCTCAGCTGATAACCAGTGATAAAACTGGGTGTTTAGTTCTCTGACCAGATCTGTATTTTTCTGTTTTTCAGTCTTCCTACAGTTCCTACATTGTTGTCAATAATGTTCAAGAACCAGTTCATAAACCTTTGTTATAAATTTGATACCCTTCTTTCAGCTGACATTAGATCACTCCAGTCACTGTCCTCTGCCATAATTTGTAAAAACATTCTGAACAAAGTTTACATAAACCAGGGAACGCTAAAAGCCAAAGGACTCTAAAACAAAAAAGCATAAATCCAATGAAAAGGGTGAATGCTGATTTCTGAAAGTTCAGCAGTTTGGCGATGTGTACATTGGATGAAATGAGCCTTCACTGAGAGCTTGTGTAAATACCAGTGAAAGCGAACCCGCTCTGCAAGAGACCCTTCCAAATTGTCCAATTAGATCCAGATAAAAAAAGATGGTTCTCTCACTAGTCTCTTTCTTGCATAGTTACTCAGTTTAGGTCATCCTGATCAAGAAATAGTCCTCCCATTTCTTGATGATGGATTCAACTGAATCCCAGCAAATGTTTTGTGCATTAGATATTTTGGTATCTATTTCTAACTGATACTTTACGGATACCTTAAACTGCTTTAAGGGTACTTTTGTGTTCATGCAATAATAGTAGTTAGCAATATGGATTAACCAGTGAGTGAACCTCACCCTAACCCTGATAACGGAGCCTTATATACAATCACTCCAGACATATTCACTGATCTCAGGTGATCTCCAGTACACTGAGACTATACTGGTGTCTGTACTGGAGGTCACCTGAGATCTCGAGGTGATGGCAAGTTTGTTTGTTTCATTGTGCACTCATTTGTACAATGACTTGACCTGTTGAATTAGATTTGTGAATTTAAAGAATGCAGCTGGAGATAGGCACCAGCAACTCCCAACCCCACGAGGGATAAGGATGAATAGAAAATGGATGGATGGAATTTAAAGAGGGTATTTTTTTTAACATAATTGCTTATTTGATGCTAAATAACTATGTTTTTCTTAATTTGTAGAAATCAGTCTTTGACATTAGTTTTTTGTAAATTTTCTTTGTCAAAAAGCCAGTTTGTTGACCATAATTGATTTGTGAAAACAATAAAAGCTCAAATCATTCAGTTGCTGATTAACTGAAACAAATGAAAAATAAATTTTTCTTTGATAGTATTGTGAAAAACCATCATGTATTCTAAACCCGATAGACCAAAAACGTGCAAGCACACGAGCAACGAATCAGCCAACACAAAGTAATCAGACTTTACGTTTTTTATTCTTTTTTAGCGCTAAAAAAAGAGACGCTTACTATCACAGACTAGAAGTGAAACCAAGGGGCCCCAAGTCTATACATAATAATAATAAAAATGGGAAGATTCGTTGGTTATGATCTAAAAACACGCCCAGTGGTCATCTGATGTCCTGCATCACTTAAATCTCTATTTGCTTGGAGATGGGAGTGAGGAGACGATTCAGTTTCTGTATCTGTTACAAATACAAAGGCCTTTGTGTGAAAGTATGAGAGTGTAATGTGTGTCGAAGCATATGTGTGTATTTGACCTTGGTAAGCGCCTCAAAAATAGTCTTCTCTCTTCATCTTTAACTATTTACCACAACTCTTTATCCAACATCCTGTCCCCTCAGACTTGGATAAACCAGTTATCACTGTGCATCAGAGTGATGACGAAGCAAAGGAACAGTTCTACTTTGAACGTACCGTCTTTCTTCGTTGTGCTGCCAACTCGAACCCTCCTGTCCACTACACCTGGACAAGAGACAAAGAGGTGCTGGCAGAGGGCTCTGACTCAGGAGTGGAGATATACAAGCCATTTTTCACACAGGTAAGGAGCCAAGATTACATATCGTCTGATCTCTAAGCCAATATATATTATATATATATATATATATATATATATATATATATATATATATATATATATATATATATATAAGTACAGCCAGATGCCCATACCTGAAGCACTTGAAACTGCCAAACAGAGGCTCCAAGCCTTGGCCAGCCGCCTAAAGAGATACACAAGGGAGAATGAATCCAGAAGGATTAACCGGCTCTTCTCCACTCAACCAGCTAAGGTGTACTCTCAATGGCAGGGTAATAACAACAGAGCAGACCCACCAAGGCTGGAGACTGAACAATACTGGAAAGGCACATGGGAAAGGGAGGCGTCCCACAACAGCAATGCACAGTGGCTGATCTCTCTACGAGAGGACCACAGCAACCTCCCTGAGCAAGCCCCGGTAACCATCACTGTGACAGATGTTCAAGAAAGACTCTCAGGCATGAAAAACTGGACAGCACCAGGGCCTGACATGATCCATGCCTACTGGCTAAAGAAACTCACTGCTCTCCATGAGCGACTGGCAGCCCAAATGAACCAGCTGCTACAAAGTGGGACTCACCCTGAATGGTTAACTGAAGGGCGGACAATCCTAATCCAGAAGGATCCATCAAAGGGTCCAGTCCCACCCAACTACCGACCAATAACCTGCCTCTCCACAACCTGGAAGCTCATGTCAGGCATCATAGCGGCCAAGATAAGCAAACACATGGATAAACACATGAGCACGGCACAGAAGGGTATCGGTGTAAATACCAGAGGAGCCAAACACCAACTCCTCATAGACCGCACAGTTGCCCTCTACCAGAGGCCTGGGAGCTTGAGGGTCCTGCAGTATCTTGGCTGTGCCAAGGACTGCTGCACATTTCTGGACTGAGATGTCTGATGTTGTTCCTGGGATCTGTTGTAGCCACTGCTCCAGTTTGGGGGTTACTGCCCCGAGGGCCCCAATGACCACAGGCACCACTGTGGTCTTCACCTTCCAGGCCCTCTCCAGTTCCTCCCTGAGGCCCTGGTATTTCTCCAGTTTCTCCTTTTTCCTGATGTTGCAGTCGCTTGGTATTGCTACATCTACCACAACGGCTTTCCTCTGATGTTTATCCACTACGACAATGTCTGGTTGGTTCGCCATTACCATTTTGTCTGTCTGGATCTGGACGTCCCACAGGATTTTAGCTCTGGCATTCTCCACCACCTTTGGGGGTGTTTCCCACTTTGATCTCGGGGTTTCCAGTCCATATTCTGCACAGATGTTTCTGTACACTATGCCTGCCACTTGGTTATGTCGCTCCATGTACGCTTTCCCTGCCAGTATCTTGCACCCTGCTGTGATGTGCTGGACTGTCTCAGGGGCCTCCTTGCTTGTGCAAGGAGGCCCTACACCTTGGGTATTGTCTGGTGTGGTAGATCTGGACCTCTATTGCTCTGGTGTTTAGGGCCTGTTCCTGGGCGGCCAGTATGAGGGCCTCTGTGCTGTCCTTGAGTCCAGCTTTTTCCAGCCATTGGTAGGATTTACCAATGGGTTATTTGCTGGTGGTACATCCCATGTAGGGGCTTGCCCTCCCATGATGGTATCTCTGGCACCTCAACCTCCGTTCCCTGTTGTCTGAGACATTCACTGAGCACATTGTCTGTTGAGGCTTTGTCCCTAATGTATTTATGGATCTTAGTTGTTTCGTCCTGGACAGTGGTTCTCGCACTCACTAGTCCTCTGCCTCCGTCCTTGCGGCTCGTGTACAGTCTCAGGGTGCTGGATTTGGGATGGAACCCTCCATGCATGGTTAGTAGCTTTCTAGTCTTAATATCTGTGGCTTTTATCTCCTCCTTTGGCCAGCTAATTATTCCAGCAGGGAATCTGATTACTGGCAGGCCATAGCTGTTTATCGCACGGATTTTGTTCTTGCCATTGAGCTGGCTTCTCAGGACTTGCCTTATTCGTTGGAGGTATTTAGCTGTGGCTCCTTTCCTTGTGGCCTCATCGAGGTTGCCATTTGCTTGTGGTATACCTAGGCACTTGTAACTGTCCTCTATGTCTGCTATTGTTCCTTGTGGGAGTGAGACTCCTTCTGTGCGGAGCACCTTCCCCCTCTTTGTGATCAGCCGACCACACTTCTCTAGTCCGAATGACATCCCAATGTCAGTGCTGTAGATCCTGGTGGTGTGGATCAGTGAGTCGATGTCTCGCTCACTCTTGGCATACAGCTTCATGTCATCCATGTAGAGGAGGTGACTGATGTTGGCCCCATTTTTGAGTCGGTATCCGTATCCAGTCTTGTTGATAATTTGGCTGAGGGGGTTCAGGCCTATGCAGAACAGTAGCAGGGACAGAGCATCTCCTTGGTATATGCCACATTTGATGGACACTTGTGCAAGTGGTTTGCAGTTGGCTTCAAGGGTGGTTTTCCACAGCTTCATCGAGTTTGCAATGAAGGCTCTCAGAATCCTGTTGATGTTATACATCTCTAGGCATTCAATGATCCAAGTATGCGGCATTGAGTCATAGGCTTTCTTGTAATCAATCCAAGCCATGCACAGGTTGGTGTGTTGGGTTTTGCAGTCTCGGACAACTGTGCGGTCTACGAGGAGTTGGTGTTTGGCTCCTCTACTATTTACACCGATACCCTTCTGTGCTGTGCTCATGTGTTTATCCATGTGTTTGCTTATCTTGGCCGCTATGATGCCTGACATGAGCTTCCAGGTTGTGGAGAGGCAGGTTATTGGTCGGTAGTTGGGTGGGACTGGACCCTTTGATGGATCCTTCTGGATTAGGATTGTTCGCCCTTCAGTTAACCATTCAGGGTGAGTCCCACTTTGCAGCAGCTGGTTCATTTGGCCTGCCAGTCGCTCATGGAGAGCAGTGAGTTTCTTTAGCCAGTAGGCATGGATCATGTCAGGCCCTGGTGCTGTCCAGTTTTTCATACCTGAGACTCTTTCTTGAACATCTGTCACAGTGATGGTTACCGGGGCTTGCTCAGGGAGGTTGCTGTGGTCCTCTTGTAGAGAGATCAGCCACTGTGCATTGCTGTTGTGGGACGCCTCCCTTTCCCATATATATGGGAATATATATATATATATATATATATATATATATAATATATATATATATATATATATTTGTGTGTGTGTGTGTGTGTGTGGTAAGCTGGATCAAAACAACTTAAGGTGAACTATTTTAGTTGACATAAACTTCAGATCCCAACATTTGTCAGAAATGTTTCTCAGCATGGAAAGTTGAAATGCTATTGGAACTGACATTCCAATAGTGAAGTGACCTGCAGCACAGTAGTCAGAACAAACATTAAAAAATAATTTACAGATCTAATTTTTACAGACAAATTTACATCAGCCCATGTCAAACCTATTAAAGAAAATAAAGGTCCCCACTTGGTTTGTACATTGCGACAGGGGTCCACTGTTGACTGGTCCAAAATGACACAAGTTCCCCCTGAGATAGGATGGAGCGACATGCACACTCCAGGATGGGTGAATACAGCTGAAATTAACTAAACTAATGACACACCTCTTATTATCTTCTTTTGAAAGCTTTCAAGTTTTCTGATATAACTAATGTAAGTGTTGCACCACACAATACAGCAATAATTAGTATGTGGCTCAACAAGAGTTTTTACATAGTTAAAAGCGTGGATAAAGGAAGATAAAACCTTAATTTAAAAAAAACAGGCCAACATACTTGGACAACTTTGTTAGTAGATATTCTATGTGATGTTTAAAATTTAAGGACTCATCTATGAAAACCCCCAGGAACCTTGCAGTTCATTATTTTTTCATTTACAATTTTAATATTTGTATGATTAGTTGATGATAAAAATGTATTTGAACAAGATAAAATTAGTTTTTCTGATGTTGAGAGGACTTGATTAGATTTTAGAAAAGTTTCCAAAGTAAACTTTTCATTTGAATGAGGAATCATAACGGTACCAAATGAACTCCATGTTTGATGTCCCCAATTTTTGGTGATTAATAGCTACATAATGATGTCTACCAAAAAGGTAACATTTAAACCAATTATGAGCAGTTCATCTAATCCCTGAGGGGTGTAGCTTGTTCAGTAATTTATATACTTTTTATTTTATTTACTTTGTTGAATGTACCAAGTCACAATAAAATTACAACAATGCAATAATACAAACGTTCAAAGGAGTGGGTTGAAGTAGAAACGTATTAAGCCCCAGCCCTTCTCCAGTAACATCACAAAATGATCTCATCTTATTTATATGTATTTCACAAGTTCACCTTCATTTTACTTCCTGATTCTTGATTAATGCAGTACTCTCATTGATATATTAATAATAGCTCTAATAATAGTATTAACTACAGAATATTGTTGATGCTGATTGCCAACAATAATGTAACAATAACATAATGCATCAAGGCAGTTTGTCATATTTATTGAAAACCATTTTCTCAAAAAAAAAAGTTTGAATTGTTTAATGTTTGGACATTGTTTTAATTCCACAGTCAAACTGTTTTATAGTTTCACACCACAGACTGAAATGCAAAACATTCTTGTGGTTCTGATCTTACAAACTTTGAATTTGTACTTTCCTCTGAGGTTATACAATTCTTCTTTTGAAAACAAATTTTGAATATTTTCTGTTAACTGTTCATTATATAAGACACACCGTTTGTATGTTCACCAAATCAGTAAGTTCTAGTAAGAGCAGTACAGAATATGTAGTGCTTTGTGTTTAACCAATTGCTTGGCTTTATTCAATATAAAAATACCCCATTTTCTTTTGTTATATTGCATATGTGGCTTCCCATGCTATTTCTCTCTAACCTTTTACCCAATTCAACACATTCCCCCGAAATCCTTCACTTTCTTATTATTTATTAGTAAATTGTGATTTATTGTGTCAAATGCTTTTTTTAAGTCAAAGAACAATCCATCAACAATCTTTTTATTACCAATTGCAGATGTAATGTTTTCTATGGTGTCTGATATAGCCAGTGTTGTAGAGAGTTTTACTGATTAATAGACTGGAATATTTTATAGAAAAAATTTTAGTCTATAAAATAATTTTCTAATATTTTGGAAAATTGTGGTAGCAAAGAGATAGGTTTATAGTTGGTGAAATGGTGTATATTTCCGGATTTGTAAATTGGAATTACTTTGGCAGTTTTCAAACATACTGTGTCGAAAGCCTTAGAAAGGTCCAAGAAAATGCCGACGCCATAATCTCCCCGTTCTCGAGCATCAATAAAAAAATTTCAATATGGTCCAAAATAGCCAAACAGGTGGAGCCTTTTTTTCTTTTCTTGAAACCATACCAGAAATTGGAAAGAATCAGATCTTTATCCAGGTATTTCAGTAATTTGCTGTGGATAACTCTTTGGAGAACAAAATTAGAAGAACAGAAGTTAATTGTTAATATCATTTCCATTTCTGGATTTGTAAATTGGAATCATTTTTGAAATGCTAGCCATTTTTGGCATCATACCATGTAATAAGAATAGGTCTGTTCAGTGTGTCAGAGGTTTAACTATGAAATTAGAAGTTGCAAGCAGAATTTTACTGCAAATCCCATCAACTCTTTCTGTGTGAGAACTTTTCAATGTTTTAATGATTCTCTTTGGTTAACTTTTGTCAGTAGACTTCATAAGAAGGAGTACAAATTATTTTTTGTAAGATTCTCTCGAGGAATGATTAAGTTTTGTTTGTAAGATTTTGACCAATACATAAAAAGTAATTGTTAATCTGTCAGCAAGCTGATGTAAATCCCCAAGTTAAGATTCTGGAAGCACCAGTGGTTTATGGCCCCTATTGAGAACTTTCATTTATAATCAACAAAGTCTATTTGGAGTTTCCCTGAGCACAATTTATATGATTAGTATAATCATTACACTTGGTCTTCCTTATTATTTATGCCAATTTGTTTTTGTACAGCTTTTATTAAGATTACTGGAAGTTTTTAAATCCTACTGATCACAGTTTGTTTTTATGCTTAATAGAATTTATTATCCTTTTTTTGTAAGCCAGGGATTTTGTTCATTTTTCTGCTAGTGACAGTCCTTTCTGGAATAGTTATACTGACAGCTTCACATAATTTATGAATCAAATTATTACTGTATGTGCAGAATCAGGATTACATGTATTAAAAACACTATTGTCAATAATAACAATATTGTTATGAATATATATAAACAATACCCAGAGAGCATGTGTGTTACTTTAGTGTAAGTATTTATGGTAGGATAAAAGGAAGTGGAGTGAAGAATGCTATCAAATTCATTTGTAATTTCATTGTAAAATCACCAAGAAGGATACAATTCATATTTTTCTGATTAAAATATAGGATTACATCCTTTGTTCGTGAAGATAGTAGGATTTGAATCTGTTGGACAATAAATTTATCCAATGATGAGATTCTTGCCCTTGTTCATTTAGATAGATAGATAGATAGATAGATAGATAGATAGATAGATAGATAGATAGATAGATAGATAGATAGATAGATAGATAGATAGATAGATAGATAGATAGATAGATAGATAGATAGATAGATAGATAGATAGATCCGTAATTGTTAGTGATTAGTTGCATCCTGCTGGGAGATATTTATCATAACATGAAGCTGAAAGCTAAGCTCATTGTTTCGCCTTAAACCCAGAAAGTGGTGCAGGTTGCAACAATTTGATCAGAGCAAAGACAAGTTTTGAGTGCAAGGAGAAGGTTTGAGAAAGCACTGTGAATATTTGAAAGAGAGCAGACATTTTGACTACAAGCATTGCAAGTTTTGAGAGGAAAAACATGAAGTCCTGCTTTCAAAATGTAAATGTGTGCTCTTGAATCATGGCAGAAAAATTTCTCCATAAGTATGATTGTAATACTTGTGAGGAGGCAAACGTGAGAAAAAAATACATTTTTCAATAAAATGTCTCACATAATGTTTTGGCGTGATTTTTTTTTTGTCAGGGTCAGACGAAGATCTTGAAGCTGAAAAATCTACGTCTGCAGGACTATGCTGACTACACCTGTTTTGCTTCTGTGAAGAATTCCTGTGGCATTAGAGACAGAAGTACCCACTTCATTCTCAACAACAAGACAGGTATAAAAGCACTCAGGAATTGGAACAATTAAACATTATCTGCAGGTGCATGTCTTTATTTAAAAATTATATTCCTATAAGGGGGTCAAACTTTTAAAAAAGTAAGATTCTGGATTTTCTAAATTCCAATAAAAAATTCTTAGTTCTACTAAAAATGATTTTTATTTCATGTTTTGATAAAATTCTGCATTTTAGTTATCTCAGTGATCATGTATCTATAACAACAGAGAGAGAAACAAGGACAGAAAATAATTAAACTCTTTATAAAGCAAAAATAAAATAAAATCTAGCAATATAGTGAAGCTGCCTACCCACAGCTGGCATTGTCAAAAGCAAATAAATCAAACTCCCATGACTGCACAGAAAAGATAAACCAGGTGAGCAGAGCTCCAAGTCTGCTCCTGACAGCTTGGCTTTGATAACCACAAGATGCTGGGCCCTTGTGGATCCTGAATGTGGTTCTTCAAGTGCACCTCAGAGAAGAACAATAAACAATTAGCAAAATCCTTCCATTTAAAGGGGAAGGGACATTACTGTCATGTTGGGGTTGAGTCTTCTGACCCACATGCAGAAACCACACATAATTTGGAAATGAAAGAATTTATTTACAATTGAACAAAGAGAATATAATCTAGGGACTTCAGAGGGAGAGAATGGGGGTTCGCAACCAGGATGGTCTGAAATGAGAGCTGCGTTAAGGATGGGTTGGAAAGTTGACTGGCGAGGTAATCAGAACTGGCTTACTGTGGGTTGGTAGGCTTGGCGTGGAAGAGGGTCATCGGGGTCGGGTCAGAGTGAAAGTGTTTTGATGGCTCCAGAGGTTCGTGTGAGGAGGAAGGACGGCGGACCAGAGGTGGATGGAAGTGGCGTGGAGACAGCGGAAGCGGCGGAGCGAGCAGGCAGGTTCTTGCAGGCGAGTATCACAAACGAGAGAACGAGCTGTTCCTAGTAGCGACAAAACACAGAAACCATGAGAACTCAGGGAAGCTCAAAGAAAGTTTCAACACTGTGAACAACAGGTAAGGCCAGAGTGACTACCGGAGACGTTAACCATCTAGCGCCGAAGGAAGGGTCTGGCACTCCTTTGTCCCCAGCTCGCTGATGACGCTGATGGGCTCCACCTGCGCCAGCTCCTCGCAGGAACAGGATGTGACTCTTACTCATGACATACGTTCTCACTCTCACGGACCCTGACAATACCCCCTCGCCCCCTTAAAGACCGCCTCCTGGCGGTCGGGAAGACGACGACCCCTGAGAATCCTCAAAGTCCCTAATAAGGTCAGGGTCTAAAATAAAAGAACGAGGAACCCATGAACGTTCCTCAGGGCCATAACCCCGCCAGTCCACCAGATATTGGAACCCCCGACCTCGACGACGAACATCCAAAATCGCTGATACTTCATACGCCGGGTGGCCACCAATCTCTCGGGTGGGCGGGGGTTCGGAAGGAGGGCAAAGGGGACTGGCACGGACAGGTTTGATGAGGGACACATGAAAGACCGGATGAATCTTTAGTCACACAGGTAGCTGGAGACGAACAGCAGAAGGACAAAGCACAGAAGTTATCTTGAAAGGTCCAATGAAACGAGGAGATGGCTTACGTTTAGAAGACTTAAGGGTAATGTCACGGGTGGAAAGCCAGACCTCCTGTCCAGGTGAGTAGGCGGGTGCAGGTGTTCTCTTGCGGTCTGCCCACCTTTGATTCCCCTCCGCTGTCTGGTTTAGAACTGCAGTGGTCTGCGCCCAGATGTGCCTTCAGCGGCGGAGGTGGTGCTGGACTGAGGTGACGGATGCCTGTCGTTCATCAGAAGGAAACAGAGGAGGCTGATAACCGAGGGAAGACTCAAAAGGTGACAGACCTGTGGCAGCAAATGTGTGACTACTGTGGGCATACTCCACCCATGGCAGGTGCGAACTCCAGGTAGTTGGGTGTGAAGAACAGAGGCAGTGAAGGGTGGCCTCCAGCTCCTGGTTCAGACGTTCGGTCTGGCCATTAGTCTGGGGGTGAAACCCAGAACTGAGAGTCACCTTTGCCCTCAGGGCAACTCCAAACTCCTTCCAGACTCTGAAAACAATCTGTGGGCCCCGTTCAGACAAAATCTCAGAAGGAATGCTATGCAGATGAAAAACATGTTTAGTAAGGAGGACGGCAGTTTGTATGGCTGTAGGAAGTTTACGTAACAGAACCAAGTAACATGCCTTGGAAAATCGATCAACAATAGACAAAATGAAGGTGTAACCCTTAGACGGAGGCAACCCAGTAACAAAATCCAGAGCAACATGTGACCACGGACGCTTGGGCACTGGAAGAGGTTGCAGTAACCCACTGGGAGGCTGATTACCGGTCTCATTGCGAGCACAAATGGAACAGGCGCGCACATAGTCCATATGTGATGGACTATGTGCACGGACGGCCACCAAAAGTTACGCCTGATCAACGAGACAGTGCGGCTAACGCCAGCATGACATGAAAATTTTGCCGTATGGGCCCAATCAATGAGACGAGTTCTGATGGAAGAAGGGACATACAATTGGTTGGACGGTGTCTGAGCTGGACCGGGTTCAGATCATTGCGACGCTATCACCTCCTCCCTGATCTCCCAAGAAAGGGCACCAACAACACACGTGGGTAGTATGATAGTGGTTGGTGGAGGCTCTAGGTTTGGTATTTTTGGACCCTGGCCGATATGAAATGGTGAAGTTGAATCGGAGAAGAAAAGTGACCAGTGGGACTGTCTTGGGTTCAATCGTTTAGCTTGTTGGAGGTAGGCCAGATTCTTATGATCACCACTATGGGGTGTTCGGCCCCTTCCAACCAGTGGCGCCACTCAAAGGCCATCTTCATGGCCAAGAGCTCTCTGTCACCTACATCGTGGTTTCATTGCATATGTTGCATGATTTTGTGTTCTTGTGTTTATGATGTAAAGCACTTTGAAATGCCTTGCTGAAATGTGCTATACAAATAAAATTTGATTGATTGATTGATTGATTCAGCAGGTGAAAAACGATGGGAGAAGTAGGCACAGGGATGTACCTTATCATCACTGGGGGAAACTTGTGACATACTGCCCTGCTCCCGAGTCGGAAGCATCCAGCTCAACAATAAATTGTCTCAATGGATCTGGTTGGCTGAGAATGGGTGCAGTGGCGAATTTTCTCTTAAGCTCTAAAAAACTTTGTTCAGCTGCAGGTGACCAACAGAACCCTGTCTTAGGGGATGTGAGACTAGTCATAGGAAGAACTGTTTGGCTCTAATTTCTGATGAACCGGCAACAACTGGAGGTAGAGCAGAGTGCAGACATGATGATAGGCAGTCGGGACTCCAAGACTCAACTCGACTGTTCTTCCAGTCCAGTTGTGGATTATGACGGATGAGCCAAGGATAACCCAGGACCACTGGAGACTAAGGTGACGGGAACACAAAAAAGGTTATGGTCTCCCGGTGATTGCCTGATATTAAAAGTTCAATGGGAGTGATTCGATGAGTGTTGGCAGGTAAGGCCTTTCCATCTAAAGCCGCTACCGAGATAGCTACTGGTAGGGGAACTGTGGGAAAATTGAGTTGATTAACCAGGGCATTATCAATGAGGTCCTGTTCACAACCTGAATCGATTATAACAAAAGTCTGAAAAGACTGGGAATCTGTGATCAGGGAACAAGGCAATGTGAGATGGGATATGTTCCTAGAACTGCCCACCACAGCTCCCGTTTCTAGTGGTGGACCCTGTCTTTTGGCATGTTCTGACAATCGGCGATGTAATGCCCAGCCTGAGCACAATAAAGATAAACTCCGGACCTCATACGCCGCTGGTGCTCCTCCCGGGAAAGCCTGGTTCTCCCAATTTGCATGGGCTCCTCAACACTCTGGAAGGCTGGAGTGGGTCTGGGGTCAGGACAGAAACTTTGTTCTGTCTTAGCTTTGGTTCTGTCCCTGATTTTGTTGTCGATCCTGATAGCCAGAGCGATAAGTTCCTCCAATGATCCCGGCTCATCATGGTAAGCTAGTTCATCTTTCAAATTATCATTAAGAGCCTGAAGAAAGGCTCCCTTCAATGCCTCAGAGTTCCAGCTAGAAGCGGCAGCTAGCGTTCTGAAATCTATAGCAAAATCAGCTACTGCTTGATGGCCTTGTTTTAAGTTCCACAACTTGCGAGTTATGTCCAATCGTGACTCGGACCCTCAAAAATCTGTTTGAACTCTGCCAAAAATGAGTCGTACGTGCCCTGAAAAGGGACCTGTTGTTCCATCTTGCCCTCTGCCCCTGAGTGACCCTACAACATAAGCGATCTTCACTGCCTCGGTTTGAAAACTCTGGGGCGAAAAAGAAAAAACTAAGGCGCATTGCAACAAAAACCCTCCGCATTCACCTATTTCACCAGAATAGGGCTCTGGTTTGGACGGGAAAATCTCCCTGACATGAACTGAAACCAGGGATGCTTGTTCTGGAACAGCAGAGGCACCGGCTTGAGGCGGGGAAGGCGGGGATGCGACTGGTGGCGGACCTGCCGAAACAAAACTGTGGTGAAGATAATGGAGTAACCTTGAATATTGCTCTAACCGTTGATTAGTCCTTTGTTGCTCATATAAAGAGTTACGCATGGCGTCATGGCGAGCAAGTAATGAATGAAGCTGACTGGAATCTTGTGATGGTTCTGCTGGGTCTAGTTGGCTAGATGGTTCTGTCATGTTGGGGTTGAGTCTTCTGACCCACATGCAGATACTACACGTAATTTGGAAATGAAAAAATTTATTTACAATTGAACAAAGAGAATATAATCCACGGATTTAAGAGGGAGAGAATGGGGGTTCGCAACCAGGATGGTCTGAAATGAGAGCTGCGTTCAGGACTCCCAAATATTCATGCAATATTTTATATGCATAAAGGTTAGCTTGTCTATACAGTTATGCTAATTAAACTTATTTTCAACAACGTTTACCATGTCCTGGATGACTGAAAAACTACATCCACTGTTGTGCTTTGTATATTATTGTTGTCAAAATCATCTATATTACTGTTTTCTGAATTTGGTGCTAAAAAATGGTTACTACATAATTTTGGAAAGATCTGAAAGTGTCTAAATTTGGAGAAACATGCTGTTTCAAAAGAAAAATAAGTGCCAATTTGGTAAGCGGTTTTCCAGTTAATCTACTTATGATGACTAAAAGTTGGTTTTATATTCTGTTTCTGTAGGTATTTAATTTTTTTATTGAATGTTTTGGTAATACAACAGACTTTCATCTTTGATTAATAAAACATGTAATGAACCTTTATCATTATTTTTTTTCTTTTCTGCCTCCCCAGCTCCTCCCTCTGTAAAAATACTTTTGGATGATCCTGTGGTGGCAAATCCTGGAGAGACGATCACTCTTGTTTGCAAAGTGATGGGTGGACATCCTTTTCCAAAACTAACATGGTTTAGGTTAGAAGATGAGGAGCTACCGAGGAGAGCTATTGTCAAAGACGGTACACTGACGGTCCCTGTTATTAGTGATGACGATGGAGGAACTTACACCTGTGTTGCATCCAACAACGTAGGAAACCCTGCTAAGAAATTCATCACCATATTGGTCAGAGGTATGACAGTAACATTTTGTTCAAACCGAAGTCTGTCATTTGAACTATACAGTAGACTAAGTTTAGCACCTTCCAAACATTTATCTGTAGGCACCAGTCCTTTGACAATTGGATGTACCTCCAAGTACATTACAAGTAAGACAACAACCTATGTTCTGTGTAGGTGTGCGTGTGTGTGTGTGTGTGTGTGTGTTGTGTGCGTGTGTGTGTGTGTGTGTATCTATATATAGATCAGCAACATGTGGTCAGTGGAGGCAGGTAAAGCAGAGCCTCACCTGTCATCATGGAAAAATAATATAATAGATGAAATAATTTATATTGTTATTTTCATCCTATGAAGTACTTTTTTTATTTAACTTAATCAATTTTGATTATTTTTTCTTTAAAATCGCAGAATTGTTAGCATTTTTCCATTCAAATGATAGGAAGTGCAGCTGGTGAGGCAGTAGTAAGCTAAGCCTCACCTGGGATTGATCAACCTCTCACTAACTGCCATTCTATGAGAGCATGTTACCCCAGTCTGTAAGTGGCAAAAAAACATTTAATATATGAATTGATTTTCCATAATTTAGCTCTTTGAAATAATGTACAGTGTTATTTATCACCAACTGTGTGTGTAACATGTTTTGCAGAGAACAGATTCAAGGTGAGGCAGGCAGTTCTCTGGCCTAATGGCAGGAGGCGCTCTTCATCCCAGACATTGTGACTCCACAACTGGAGATATAGTAAGAACAAGCTAGCCAGTGGCGCAAAAAGTGAATATGCACTGTATGCATAAAGGGGGCGTCAAAAGTCCCAATAGAAAAAATGTTTTTCTAGTTGGCATTTTCTATATTTAACAGCATGAAATGATCAATAAAAGAGTAACAGCACAGATTAGGCACCCCTCTGCTCCTTCACCTCCCCTCCTAACCCACATATGTCAAATTCAAGGCCCGCCCGCGAATTAATTATCTATGGTCCCCTGGATGATATTCAATTACTATTAGAACCGGCCTGCAGGCCACAGCGGACTACATTCCCACAATGCAACGGTAGCCTGCAAAGTCGCTGCAGCACAAGCAGCTTCATTGTTCATCAGCAATTAGAGCAGCGATCAACTTGTTCATGTTTGTGGAGGTAAAAGGCAAACTTGTGTGCAACGTTTTTATTTCAAATCAGATAGTCAGGCTACAGTTACTTATCGAAATCACTTTGCGTTACTATTTTCTCTTGTAACTATATTAGACTTCCTCTCCTCGTCTTGGGGAGAGTCTATGAGACAGTATCAGCAGCGACAGAAACAATGGCAGGAGAAGCGCATTTTGTTACTGGAAAAACAGAAACTATGTTGAGTTTTGCTCACCAAGTACGATTATTATAAGCGGCTTTGAGCTTGTTTTTTTTTTTTAGTCGCTTGTAGATTTAATGAGTCGTGGTTTTTGGGCTTAATACATAAACCCAGAATTTGTCTGGCATTTTAGTTGGACTCTACCTGTCCATCGTTTTCCGGATGATCCGTCCCGCTGTCTTTGCTAATGTCAAGTTAATATGTCACCTCTGAATGACTTCAAGCTTTGTTTTGCTCTGCAGAAAATAGCAAACATCGAAACTAATAGGAACAGCGCAATAAAGGTGAAAACAGCCACGAATGAACGTGTTTCACAGGTGGCAGAGTGTTGTTGTTATTAGCGGCTGCGAAAAGTAACTGAAATTGTCACTTTCAGTTTAACTTTGTTACTTTCCAAATCAAGTAATCAGTTACCCAACTAAGTTACTTTTTCAAGGAGTAATCAGTAATCTGATTAAAGTAACTAAGCCATCACTGCCTGTGTGTCTTCTGTGTGGAGAAAGTTTGGCTGTAATGAAAGAATATAATCTCAGAAGGCATCAAACTTCTCAGAAACACACAAAGACAAGAAATGGACATTACAGAGCAGCACAATAATGCATTTTCAGTTTATAGTGCATGCACTTTAATTTATGTATTTATCTTGATATTAACAAACATTTAGGTTTTCAAAACAATAACAGTTTTTGCTGTTTGCCTGTTGAAAATGTTTTCCTTTGAGGTTACTGGCAGTCATAATAAAACATTGCTTTGTTCTTTTAATGTACAGAACATGTTACTTTCTTTGAAGGAAGTTTGTTATTGTCTGTTTGCCGGTTGAAAAATAGTTTCACTTGATCCATAAAAAAATATTGCTTTATTAATTTTATTATTAAATAATATACACTGTGTTAGTTCTTGGTCCAATAGGCTTTGTGCAATCATTTCAGTATGTGTTAATAAACGTAGACACAAGCCGGTCCTCAGCTTGTAGCAAATTTGGATTTTTGGCCCTTGGTGTATTTGACCTTGATATCCCTGAATTAGATGAATGAAGGTAATAGTAGCAAAAACTGACCAGTAATTTCATATTGACACATAAAGCTATGCAATTTTTATAATTTGGATAAGCTTCCTTTGGGTCCAGCAAAAGGGTGAGAGTGTGTCTGCAAGGGGCCAGATGGATTCTACAGCTCTTGGGGGAAAAGCTGTTCCTTGGCCATGTGGTTCTGCTCTTTGTACACCTGTACCGTTACAATACAACTGGCTTTCGTTTGCAGTCTGCCAGTGTATATTAGATCCAGGTTTGATAACTGATTCCTCTTGATGCACTGGCCAGTTTTCACCATTTTGACCAAATCTTTTTTTTTTTCCTGGTCTGTGCAGTTGCCGTACCACACAGTCATACTGAGGCAGAAAATGCTCTCTAGAAACTTTTTTTGAGGAACTGAGGAGGGAGTCAAGCCCTTTCAGTTTCCTTCAATGGGTCTTCATCAGAAAGAAGGTGTTCAACGACCAGATTAGGTCAGAAGTGATGTGGATGCCCAGGAATTTGATGTTGTCCACACACTCCTCCACCTTTTCTTGAATTGTAATAAATAATCTATACTTTCCTTCATCTCAAACCAAGGCAATGCACAGTTTAGAATCCCTCACCCCCCAAAAAAATTAGGTGGGTCAACATTTAAAAAATATATTTATTTTGTTCAAGGGAAGTCAACAAGTTCTAAACCAAATGTTCCTGTTTTTCAACCAAAGGAATGGTGTCACACTGAATTTAACATATCCACACACCATTAAACTCACATATTTTAATGACACAAGAACAAAAATGCTGTCACTGCTTTCTAAAGCCCTTCAGGATGGGATAAATGTTCTCAAAGGCTTCGTAGATCTCTGCACGTTCTTTAGCTCCTGAAAATTAAATTCACAAATAAAAAATATATAAATAAGATTCTGTAACAAAGTCAGATCAACTTTTAAAAAATTTTATACGTCAACGCTTAATGTACAAAAATTCTTGGTAGGTCAAGAATTTTTGTCTCGTTCACAGCAGCGTTGTGTGAGAACCCTGCTGTGACCTTAGCAAGAACAACTTTTACATTCAAAACAATCAAATTAAAACAAATTCACTTTGTTCATAGATCACAAACTAAGTATTCTGAACTAAGTTTATTATGAATTAGTTGCTATTCATATTCCATTTGAAATCAAGTTAGAAAATGTATTTTAGTTCATGCACCAATCAACTTTCAGCACCTTCATTGTCTCCCATTTTCTTTGGTCATGTGAGCTATATTTTAATAAAGTCGAACCATACCAGAAGTCAATCTGGAATAATTTGCACATCTTGGGGAAAAATGTGGTGCCATATTTTACGCATATGTTGGCGTGTATAAAAATTAACGTGGCATGAAAGTTTGCGTGAATGTACTTTTTACCTGCTGTGAAACTGTGGCAGCCACGACAAAGCTGAACAACATTTAATAACATAAATAAAATAAAATGAATGAACATGAATGTACACTTGAATGTAAATAGTAAATTTCTTCTGTTTTTGTCAGATGAAAATGTAATGCCAAAGCGCATGAAATACATCTGCAGGATCACTTTCATTCCCACTGAAAAAGAAAAAGTGGAGTTGGATCAGCAGATTAATTCCAAACAGCTCAGGTTTGATTATTTTAATGTTGTCAAATTATGTAGTCAACAATCACACTTAGATAAGAAGATTTGCAAAGGGAGCCAGGTGATTGTGGAGCGTTTTGGATCTGATTGACAACATCATCAATGGAAGGATTCAGATGAAGCATTTGTTCAGAGACCATGCTGGGAAATGTTGTTGATGGTATATTAGTGTTTTGGTTAAGCCAGACTGATCATCCTGGAGCACTGCGCAGAACTTAAAGAAGGATAGATATTAATAGAAAACCCATAAAACTGATAAAAATAATAATAAAAAAAATTACAGCCAGAAAGTGTAACTAACCCCTGAAAGCTAAACCCTGCCCATGGCAGAGACATGGCTGAGTGAGGGGACGAGCAGAGGGATGGGTGGAGGTGTGATCAGGACGAAAGAAGTACTCGTCAACTTACTCACTTAGAAAAATTGATAAACATAGTGACAGACTCCTCTCGTGATTTTTCTTTTTTTTTTTTTCAAAACAACTAATAGTACATTTAGTAAATCTTATACTGTGTGGAGCAATGCATTTACATTGTGTAAAAAATTTATAAAGCAAGGAAAGAGTTGGCTCCAAGCTTCTGGCTTGTTTATGTTATAGCAACCGCTAACACCTGACCGAGCAACTGTCATGATAGCTGGAGATAAGCACCTACTATGCAGGGACAGAGCTTTAGGGATGCAGGCCTCTATCACGCCTGATGAGAGCTGGAGAAGGCTGGCCCTCTCCTGATGAGCATACAGGTGATACGTACACCAAGCTGAGTTCGGTGTATGAATATAAAGCCCCTTTTCCACCGGCTCTGCTTTGCTCGACTCGCTTTCCGAGCATTACCACAGGATTTCATTTTAGGCTGGCCCTGCTTTTTAAGTCCCTGCATCGTCGGCCCTGGGTCCACCACCGGCCGTGCCGCCGCAGACGGCGCAACATGTCAAAATTGCTGCAACACTGCAATCGCGACCTGCTGCAGGCACCGCGCCCTGCTGCAGCCACCGCGCCCTGCTGCA